CCTCTGATATTGCTTGGCCTGCTGTGTTCATCCAGCTCTACACCTTGTTATCTAAGATTATCCAGCATCGGTAGTTCCTACTATCTCTGAATCAAAGAACTGAACTTGCTTTCTCTAGACAGGGATAGTTCAGAAGCAATAGGGGGCAGCTGTTCAGAATGAGGCACCTGGATAAAAGGGACAGAAACTGAAATAACTCCACAGAAGCTGGTATCCTGTCACCAGATCACCCTTTATTTACATGTGGAGAGTCCTCGATACTGATCCAGCTTCCTCAGAGGCAGCTCGCAGAGTGACAGGATGTCTGACATTCCTGTTTTTATCTATCAGCCAGGGATTCCTGATTGGACCAGATTACAGCTCCAATCAGGGAACTCATAGTCTATGAGGTCAACCTGGCTGACCTTATTACAATCACTACAGAAACATGTCAGCTTGATGTGAACTGAGTACAGAAGAACACAAAATGAGCAAAGCTCAAGTGAGGCTTGAGACCTGCTGCATCAAATATCTCCCTCAATAGGGAACTAATAAATACCTGTTTAAGAACTGATTTAGATGGGAATAGAGAGGGATCGTTAAATAATCCAAGGACCATGATAAATCATGTAATTTTAGACCCTGAATCCTTTTGCTGTAGACAGCAATTGTTCACTGCATTTTCAGTGAGTCAGGCATAACCTTCATGAAAGTTTACTTTGTTGGATGGTTTAACTGTTTGATCACTTTCCTGTTTAAATGGAGTAGGAAATATTTTGCTTTGATTTATTTTCAATAATGTATAGATCATAAGTCATATGTTGATAACCAGATAAAATTTAATTTCAGAAACCCTTTGGAAGAAAAAAAGAAGAAATTGCTTTGGTGGGATCCCACAGATAAACTCAACACAACCAACATCAGCATGGAGCTGTACAACATCTCACAGACCGTGAAAAATGAGACACATTTAATAATCCCAGATGCAGCCCACTGCATCATCATCATTATGTATGCCTCAGCTACCTTTCTGTCATTGAGTGGGAATATACTCGTTATTTGGGTGCTGACTATGGGCTGTAGAACCAGAACAGATATCACGGTGTTTCTCATCAACCTCGCTGTGGCTGACCTGACTATGGCCATTTTTTGTATACCCCTCACATTTACAGAGGTGCTCCTTCAAAGGTGGCTCTTTGGAGAATTTCTCTGCCCTCTGGTGCGTTTTGCTCAGGTAAGTGTTTCACCTTAAAATATTAAACATTACTTGATTACATTACATCATTTTATGATATTTATCCAAAGTGGTGTATAATCTTCATGAAAATGCCACAAGCACCATTTTCTTTCTGGAAATAACAGAAGCAGAAGACTTGTGTGTCATTTTTGCCATGATGTCATCAAATATAAATACAATATTTAACATGATTTTCTAAACAACATAGTAAGAATCGCTAAATCTAATCACCATTTGCAACCCTGTTAAACTAATGATCTATTGCCAGTAACAAATAAGCAAGGTCTCTACTGTAGCTTGTTAATGTCCTGTAATGAAAGGGTTGCTTGAAAAATTTATAGTAATTTTTGGATTAATCTGAACTTTTAAATTAATAAAATAAACATACAAAAGTACAAAACAACCAAACCCAATAAAGTCCTTGAATCTGAAGAATCATACAATTGGAATTTCTTCGATCAGTCCCAACCATCCTTCCAATTCCATTCATTTTGCTTGCTGCAATTAAACCAATAACACCACATTAACAAATGATCAGGTGATGTAAAGGGGGAGAAGGAGGAGACAGAGGATGGAGATAGAAATCAGAATCTAAACTGGGGGCAATGGAAACCTGTGATTTATGGATGAGTGGCAACAGCCCACATCTCATATGAGGTTGGGAAGTGCACTATTGTTCTTGGCTCAACATTCAGGTATATATATCTTGGAAACTTACCTCTATATGAGTGGGTAGTTCCAAGGTCTGGCTTTCCTGAGTGCATCTGTTGATGTAACCATTTTCCTCAAGATTAACTAGCCTTGCAGTGGACTCCTTAAGAAGTCATAGACCCCTTATTCGCTTCTACAAAGTGACTAATGCCTGTTTTAGATGTGGGTGCTGTTGAATCACTTTTATTCCTTTCTCAGTATAGTTTGCTACACAGGTCCAATGAGAAATGCACACCTACTTCTTACTTACCATACTGGGGACAGAGTAGGCCAGTATGCACTTGAGAAATAGGCACCACACCGCTAAATTTATAGGCCTCGTAATTTCTGGGAGAGAAAGGATGAATTTTTGGGGATAAAAAATCTTTTTGTGTATAGTTTATTTAAACATCAAGAAAGTTGGCTTAATATAAGTTAGAGCCCTCCAAATTCACAAGTTAATCCAATTTTATCCCTGTCAGGATTTTGTAATTTCACCTAATGAACATATATTATTGGTTGTGACTCTAATTAAATTAATTCTGTTTCCATACACTACAATACACAGAAACTCCTTCTAACCAGTACTCTGCATTATGGGCTGCTTTTAAAATCTCATTTACAGCTGAGCTCCATCATTTACTATTGACCCCTTCTGCAGATTATATTTGAATTGATCATTGAAAATTAGCAGAATATAAAAGGTTGCCTGTACCTAACTGAAAACAGAATATGTTAAACTGAGTGACCATAGAGAATTTTCAACATTACGAATAGACATAAATAGATTTGTTTGTACAGGTAGTTCTCCTATAACGCCATAATTGCGTTCTTGTGTGACCTTACACTATAGAAAATTGCCATAGAAAAGCAAGTTAAAGGGAAATCACTACAGAAAATTGCTATAACTGTACAGCAGAAAGTTCATGTTGTCCAAACAATGTCCACTATTCGTCAATCGTGTTACAACCAATTTGTATTAATGAAACACACATTATAGCAGAACTACCTGTACGTAAAAAAGAACACACCAATTTTTTCATCTGCCTTTCCTTGTAGGAGAACGTAGAATGAGAGGACACAGTTTCCAAATATGTTTCCAAACAGTTTCCACTTAAAATATAGATTAAGAAAAATTCTTTTCCTTAGAAGATTGGTAATCTTTGGAATTCTTTCCACAGAGAGCAGCAGAGGATGGGTCATTGAATATATTCAAGGCTGAGTTAGATAGACTTTTAATTTACAAGAGAGTAGAGGGCTATGAGTCGAGGCACAGGAGGATTGAGACCTCAAACAGATAAGCTGTGATTTTACTGAATGGCACAGTAGACACCAGGGAGCCAAGTGGCCTTCTTCTGCTCCTTTTTTTATATATTCTCTTGTTCTTAAAACATGTTTAACAATTATATTCCTACTTATATAATTTGCACTGCCATTATTTGCCATTACTTCTCTTAACTACACATTTCCTCCCTCCATGAAAAGGACATTTGAGCACGGAACACAGTATCAGATTCTAGCATCAAGTTGAGCTATACAAAAGTACCACCTATTGTCTTTAACTTTGTCACAGTTATTTTTGCATTCTAGGAGTCTGCAATGCAGCGACATGGAAATGAATTTGTGAGAACAATACATATTCCAACAAGAAATTGATAAACATATGAGCCGGTCCTCAAAAATGAAATGATATCTCCTACCACTAAAATTTTACTTTGTGACTATACTACAACAATGTGACTTGAGGATCACAAAAAATATTGTGCATGCAACCAATTAATGGTTAAAATAGGAATATTTAATTTGCAGACATTTATGATGCATAATTTTGAAGTTTGCTTGGAGAAAAATATTCACTTTGTCACAGTACTGTCCTACTCTCCTGCCGATACAAAATCATTTAGGGCTGAATACCTCTCCTGCACTTCAGAACCTTGTATCCCCATTGCTATAAAGTATGTATTAACATTCTAGTTCTTCAATTATGCGGATCTGTAATGACAATAAACATTGTATATGTACATTATAGATACATTTCAAGAATTTGTTTGGATGGAGAACAAGGGATTGTCACACGTAGCCTGTCTTTTACACAACATATGCAATATGATTCATCCAAGTGGTTCACCAGTGATTGTCAAAGTTAGTCTAGGTAATAAAAAATAGTATTTCCCTTTAGGATAGGATAAGGAGAGTTCATTTTAAAAGATCCTCTGTTGATTGTACTGAACTCGAGGATGGGAATCATTCTGCAGAAAATAACATTGAAAATAATTAAATATTCTTTTGAAAATACCATGGCTAAAAGCAGGTTTGGCACTTGTCACAAATTGGACCTTTCTAGTTTTTGAGTGGCCATCCAGAAAATTATAATATACGAATTAAACACCAGCAGCACAGTTTTCAAAATATGTTTCCCCCACTTCCTTCTGTACCTCCTGATATAGATAGATTAATTCTTGGATCTTTTATGAAATTAATAATTAAATTCAATTGTCCCTCTGGGCAATTAAGAATGGACAATGAATACTGGCTTAGCCATGATCCCTACATCCTGTGAATGCTTTTTTTAAAGGCTCCTGTATATTGTTGCTATTGTGAGATTTATCAGGTTATTTTGTTTTAGAACTGCGTCTGTCAATTTAAGGTAAAATGAAATGGAGTTATGTGACATATCCTGAAGGCTCTGACAGCAAGCTTGGGTGGTCTAATTAATAGAAATTAGGAGTCCCATGTTGTTTTACTGGGAAGAAGGTGAAAGATGCTAACTGGAGATAATAGGAGTAAGAAATAGATCAGTTTCCAAGGACCCTGAAAAGTAAACAGTAATGTTGTAAACTGTCCTATTAATTCCACAATAAAGTAGAATTTGGGTTTAAAGGAATAGTTCATCAGAATTTCTATCTGGGCATAAGATTCATATGATTCACATTAGCACGGTGATGGGCTTTGAAATGTGATGGGAACAGAGGTTATCATGTAATGTTGGGTTAGACTTTCTTACAGTATCACTAAATATCACACATAGGTTAGTCTGTCAGGGTCCAGGAGAGGGACGGCAAGCGGAGGTCAAAATATCTGAGGTTTAACATTCCACAATGTGGTTGGAATTTTGCTCTCAGAATAAAAAGACTGAATTCATGAAGAGTTAAAAGGAAACTGGAAAATTTACCATGCTTGTACGAGAGGGGAGTCTCCAGTGTTGCTGTCAGTGTGAAAATTCTGGGGTTAGAAATTATTGAACTCAGAAAGCAAGAGAACAAAAATAAGCCTTTGTGAGATAAAAATCATTTTAAACAGATTTTGGGGGAATTGAATGCCTCCGTAAAGGGCAATGTACATACGTCTGTGGTGCTTGTTTTCTTCAGTTGTGCTAAAACTAAAGGGAGGGGAGTTCTGTTCGTGGTTTAAAATATAATTTTTCTACAAATATAGTGTTTAGTCAACAGTGCTTTTATTATTTTGTTTTAGTAATCATCTTCAAATATGAAATCTTGTGTGTCCTTCTTTCAGCGATTAATTAGGAGTTCAAATTTCCTTTCAAAAGTAATCAGTCTCCTCAGGACCATAATACTATCTAAACACCAGTAACCTGTGTAACCTCATATCAGTCGTTTTGAAGCAGGAAGCTTTTATCTTAATGCCAGTCATTTTATATATTGATTCAGTTAATTTGTTGGTTTACCAACATGGACAAAGCAATGTTGCCTCGGCAGCACTGAAAATAATACTCTGGATTCTGGCCAACCATTGAACAAGGCTACTAGGCTTACTAGTAATATAACACACTGAGCATCACTGGTATCTAATCTACTGATGTGTGCTATTAAGCCATAATGCAAGTGTGAATATGTTCACATTACTTGTATTAATGGAGTAAGTTGTTATTATACTACACATAAAAGCAGTCCTGTACATATGGTGGAATAAGTGTTGTAGAGAGAGGTCTCGTGACAAGAGGACAAATTGGATACGGTGATGGGTATACCATTTACATGGCATTCCCAATTCTCTAGCCACTTATTTTAATGAACAAGAAATTTTGATTCTATAAACTTCAGACTTGTTGAATGAAGTTCCACATCAGGATGGGAGCATTACGGTATCTTTATATGTAGCAATCTGTTGTTTCATTTTCAGAATTAATTGCAAACTCCTCTGAGGTGCAGCTTTAAGAGCTTTGAATTTATCCATTTCTTTATTAGATTCTCTCTGTGTCTGTCAGTATATACACCCTCATGATCATTGGAGTTGATCGTTATTACGCTGTTTGCCACCCTCTGAAATCTCGCATGGGTCGCTCCCGAACTAAGATATTAATTGCTGTGATTTGGATGGTATCATTCAGCATCGCATCTGTGCAGTTACTTGTATCCAGGGTGAGTACAAATGCAGTACGTATATCACTTTTCTGTTTCAAAAGTCATTCTACATACTGGCTAAATAATGGGAATATATTCTTAAATATGGAAATATGTATAATTCATGATACTTGCCAACAAGCTTCTTGCCATTTTCCAGTCAGACTCACAGAATTGCCATGAGACTTTGACAGAATGCACACAGAATTTCAGGGTTTGCATTTCTCAAAAGGTGCATGAGTGTACCTGCATTCATGCTATTTCGGTACAAAAGTACTGATTTAATAGCGGCGATGCAAAAAATACAAAGTTACTACAGAAAATTAATATATGATCATGTAACATGCTATTGATAATAAATTAAACTGAATACACAGAAGCTTGCTAGAGCTCTTGTGGTGCAGTGGTAGCATCTGTACCTCTGGATCATATGACCCAGGTTCAAGTTCCACCTCTTCCAGAGATGTTTAGTCATGTCTCTGAACAGGAAAGTATCTATATAACTAGAAATTGCTCCCAGTCTGGCTAAATATGTTTATCAAGTTAATAAAGGAGCCCTAGAACTTCAGTCTGTGCTAGGTTTGCTAATTTCAGCCAAGACATACACAGATTATAATTAGACACAGCTGCCTGGTGGATTCTGTGGGTGAGAGTAAGCTCTAACACTTACTTGATTTTCAGAGAAGTGAGCTGGAAGCAGAATTATCTGTGTATGAACATATTGCACTGAGTGAGTGTCTCTTCTGTCTGAACTTGTTTAATAAGATGATTCATGACCACTTATTTTAACCCATAATGGTTGACAGGATTGGACACAATAACAAGGTTAAAATAAACTGGTATAGCACTCATTGAATCTACTGGACAAAGGAGTTTACCAAACTACTAAATAATATTGCATATAATGTTTGCAAAATTAAAGTGTGTGATTAAAGGGACAGTGAGGGTGAAGAGTACATCAGTTAAGGGACAAAAAGGAGAAAGTAAGAAGTTGTTTCTATTTTAAAGAGAATATACAATGTAAGTGAATGCAAAATACTGTTGGTACTGGAAATCTGAAATAAAAAACAGAAAATACTAGATATACTCTACAGGTAAGAAAAAAAGCACTGTGGAGCAAGAGAAACAGAGTAAATGGACTGATATTTCAGGTCCTGTCAGGGGTCACCATCTGAAAATAACAACATTGACCAGCAAGTCTAATTCCTAGCTGTGTCACTTTAGCAGATGTTAATCACAGCAGGGGCCTCCAAACTGTGACGGGACACCATGCTTTAAGGGTAAAATTAAGGCCAATCAAAGTAGATCGACTGGAATTTTTCATCAGCCTCCAGTTTCGCAAATCAGAGGGGCAAATTGGGCCTTGTGTAGCCATAAGCTGCTATGTAGTGACACTCCCATGCCTCCACCAGAATAAAATGAAAGATCAGTAAAATGCAGTGATTCTGATCCATGTAGATTTTCAGAATACTTCATTACATTCATGTGTGAGATGTATGGCACAGTTAAGATTTGAATTTTAAAAAAATATTGCCATATGAATATGGAGATAGCTAGAGATCAGGGAATAAAGTTTAGAGGTAAGGAAAAACTCACTGAAATTTAAAGCAGAGAAGTGTGAAATGATGCAACTTGATTTAAAATTAGATGAGATGAGAGAACTTTAAAAGGGAGCGCAAAAACAGAGAGATCTGGTGTATGCTATGTACTCTAATCCTTCAGAGTGTCAGGACAAATTGTGAATTTTAAATAAAAACACATGGAATCCTTGTCTTTAGTAGAAGCACAAAGAACACAAGCAAAGAGATTGACACTGGTGAGGCCTCAGCTACAGTATTCTGTTCATTTCCAGTCAGCTGTTGGATGTTAAGGCCATATAGAGAGTTCAGAAGATATTGATTAGAATGGTTTCAGAGACGAGGGACTTCACTTGCGTGAAGAGATTGGGGAAGATGTGATTTTTCTCCTTCAACTGCCCATAAGACGAAAAGAAATAAGAGCAGAATTAGCCCATCGAGTCTGTTCCACCATTCAGTGAGATTATGGTTGATCTGATAATATTCCATTCCACTTTCCTATCTTTTCCCCATAACCCTTGATTTCCTTACTGATGAAAAATCTGTCTATCTCAGCCTTGAATATATTTAATGACTCAGCCTCTATAACTCTCTGCAGTAAAGAATTTCACTGCTTTCTAAGGGAAGAAATTTCTTCTCATCTCTGTTCTAAATAGGTGACCCCTTACTCTGAGGTAATGCCCTCTGGTCCTAGAACCCCCCACAGGGATAAACTACCTCACAGCTGCGACGCTGTCAAGTCCCCTAAGAATATGTTTAAATAAGGTCATCTTTCATTTTTCTAAACTCCAATGAGTACAGGCCCAAAGTATGCAACCTCTTCTTATAAGCCAATCCCTCCAAACTCGGGACCATCCTAGTGAACCTTCTCTGAACTGCCATCAAATGCCAGTATATCTTTCCGTAGATAAGGGGACCAAAGTTATTCTCAAAGTTCTAGCTGTGGTCTGACTAAAGGCTGGAAAAGATTTAGCAAGGCTTCCCATTTTTATACTCCAAGGGGTGTTTATAAGGGGAGGCAGTGGTCTAGTGATATTATCACTGGATTGTTAATCCAGGGACCCAGGTTTGAATCCTGCCATGGCAGATGGTGGGATTTGAATTCTGTAAAAATCTGGAGTCAGGAGTCTAATGATGAATCCATTGTTGGGACCCATTTAGAATTTCCCTTTAAGGAAAGAAACTGCCATCCTTCTCTGGTCTGGCCTCCATGTGACTCCAGACCCACAACAATATGGTTGACCCTTAATTTTCCTTTGATGGGCAAAAAATGCAGGCCTAACCAGTGATACCCATATCCTGTTCATGAATTTTTTAAAAAAAATTCACTTTGAAATAAAGGCCACATTCCAATAGTCTTCCCAATTACCTGCTGAAGTTGAATGCTGGCTTTTTGTAATTTATGCACAAACCCCACACCCAAATACCTCTATGGTGTAGCTTTCTGCAGTCTTGCTCTTTTTAAATAATATTTGGTTCCCCTATTCTTCCTGCCAATGTGCATAACCTCTCTATTTCCACATTATATTCTATCTGAATTTTGTTTTTGCCCACTCACTTAACTTGTCTATATTCCTCTGCAGACTCTTTATGTCATTTTCACCATTTGTCTTTAATCCTATTTCCACAGATTTGACATTAGTACATTTATTTTCCTCATCCAAATCTTTCATATATTTTAAGATGGTGGTGCAGTAGGGCTCCTGAGCTGGGGCTCGCCTGCTCCAAGCAATTTTCTTTTCTCTCTTCTCATTTTCTTTTTCTTTAAGTTTTGTAGTATATTTTTCATCTTACCTTCTGGAGGGAGCTTGGACCTGGAAGCAGCAGCGATGGCAGCAGCTGAGGGCCCAGAGTGGGTCTATGGTGTAAAGCAGCTGATGCAGTGCTGCCATGGCTTCTTCAAGGTCCAGAGAAATGAGGTGGAATCGGGGCTCGGTGTTGTACCAGATTGGGATTCTGGCGATCTGTGGCGAAGTGGCTGGTGAGCCCAGATGGCAGCTGGTGGCAAGAGGTCCACCAAGCCAGGCTGGACTCTAACAGTTGGTGGCAAGATGGCATCACAGAGGCGTACGTGCCGAGCGCAAGGGCAAGATCTAGCCCAGCACAGGGGAGCGCGAGCACAGTGCGGAGGAGATCGAGCCCTCGTGGGGGGAGTGTGAGCCCTTGTGGGAAAGCCCAGCGTGGAACATTTGCAGGCCCATGGCTAAAGAAGGACTGTTATTCTTTATTTCTCCTGCTTTATACTAAGAAGGACTGTAATGTTTAACTTTTAACTTATTTCTTTATTTTTCTACATTGTACCTAAAATTTTGTGCTTGTGTACCTAAGATGCCGCCAGGAATGGTGACTTTATATACTTTTCACTGTACTCCTATATCCCCATATTTGAGCACACATGACAATAAAACCCAATTCTAATTTCAATAATTGTAAATAATTGTGTCCTAACACTGATCCCTGTGGCATCCCACTAGTTGCAGGTTGTCACCCTGAAATCACCCCTTTATCCCAACTTTCTGCTTTCTATTAGTTAGCCAGTCTTCTATCCGTGTTAATATACTACCACCAAAATCACAAGGTCTTAACTTAAGTTGCCTTGCACGCAATTCCTTATTGAACACCTTTTGGAAATCCAAATATATTGCACCCACTTCTTCCCATTTATTTATTCTGCTTGTTACCTCCTCAAAGTACTGTAACAAATTTGCCAGGTATGATTTTTCCTTTATGAAGCCATGCTGACTCTGCTTAACTTAACCTGTCTATGGTATTTCTAAGTGCTATCTACTACATCCTTTATAATAGATTCTAACATTTTCCCAATGACTAGTATTAAGCTTACTGGCTTAGAGTTACATGTGTTTTGTCTCATTCCTTTTTTTAATAAGAGTATTATATTGGCTGCTTATCAATCCTCAATGAATTTTCCAGAATCTAAGGATTATCGGAAGATTACTACCCGTGTATCCAGTATTCCTATGACTACTTTCTTTAAAATCCTAAGATGCATCCAGTCAGGTCCAGGTTATTTATTGGCCTTTAACCCCATTAGTGTCTCTAGTACTATTTTTCCAGTGATAGCTATTGTATTTATTTCCTCTTCCCCTTTGGGCCCTTGATTATTTAGTAGTTTTGGAATGTTTATCGATGTCTTCTACTGAGAAGACTGATACAAACTATTTGTTCAATTCTTCTTTTATTTCCTGCTTCCCTACTACTATTTTCCAGCTCATTCTCTAAGAGACCTATGTTCAATTTGGCTTCTCTTTTTCTTTTAATATACTTAAAGAAGCTCTTGTCCAGTTCGACAGTACATGCTAATTTACACTTAAATTTTTTTTTTGGTGATTCTTTTGTTGGGTTCCCTAATGCCTTGGCATACCATTAATCATAGCCATGTTGACTGTATTTTCTTTCAATGTGATGTTACCATTGATGTCCTTACTTAATCATGGTTAGTTTACCCCCTGTTAGAATCTTACTTCCACACTGGGACATAACTTTGCTGACAGGCAAATAGTCTCTTAAACGCCTGCCATTGTTCTTCAACTGTCTTTTCTGTGAAAGTCATTTCCTAGTCCACACCAGCTAACTCTACCCTCAATCCTTTGTAATTACTTTTATTTAAGTGTAGCACAATTGTTTCTGACCCAAGCTCACTCTTATACTGACTGCTAAATTTAAGCCTGTTAACCTTCACTTTTTCGTAAGGGATCCTTTACTCTGGGATCATTTATTAAGCCTGCCTCATTACGCATTACTAAATCCAAAATATTCTGATCCCTGTTTGGTCGACAAAATATTGTTCTAGGAAGCTGTCCTGAATAAACTCTATGAATTCTTCCTCATGGCTACCTTTGCTAAAGTGATTTTCCCAATTGACATGAAGACTAAATTCACCCATGACTAATGTACAGCCTTTTTTGCATTCCCCTATTATCCCCTGATATATCTTCTGTCCTACAATATACTGTAACTACTGTTAGAAGCCCTCTGGATTATTTCTACCAGTGTTTGATTCTCCTTCCTATTTCTTATCTCTGCATATGGATTCTATGTCTGCCAATCCAAGATAATTTTGTACTATCATACTTATTCCATCTTGTACCATCACTCCTTCCTTCTTGGCTGTTGTTTTGTAAAGTTGCATATCTCTGAATGTTAAGATCCCAGCTGTGATCTCCTTATAATCATGTCATAATAGCTATAAGGTCATGATTATTAACATCTAACTGTGTAATCAATTCATTTACTTATTTCCAAATATCATGTACATTTAAGTAAAGAACCTGGCATTTTGCTTTTATACCATTTATTGTCCTTTCGATACAAAGTGTTGCTGAATCTCTGTTTGTCCTACTCTGGGTATCGTTATAGATAGATGCTGTGCATTGCTGCCAAATACCTTCGCTTTGTAAACCTATGCTTCCCCTGTCCAAAACGTCCCCTCTCTAATTAGCTTAAAGTCCTCTCTAGAGACCTAAGTATTCAATTCACCACGACACTGGTTTGAGCAGAATTCAAGTGAAGCCTCTTCCAACAGAAAAGCTGCTTTCTAACCAGTACTGGTGTTGGTACCCCATTAACTGAAACCCATTTCACCCACACTAATCCCTGCTTTTTACACATCATTGTAAATAATTTGAAAAAAAAATTACAATATTATACTAAACTATTCTTAAGAAATTAGAGAAGAAAAAGACTAGGGATGCAAACACAAACTAAAGACATTACTTTTACATTAAAGACTAGAAATATTCATTAGTCTTACTCACCAATCAGCTGCTTTCCCTTCAATAAAATTGCTTTGTGTTCATGGCATCACTCCACCACTGGTCTCACTGCAGGTCAGCCTCTCAATCCCTGCCTTTCCTGCTCACCTCTCACTCTGGAGATTTTACTTATAGCAGTAAAGCCTACTCACAGTACCTCTTCCCACTCTGTATTGAATTCCCACTTAGAACCAAATTCCCAGATATACTCACAGCCTGTGTCTCACTCAGGCGAAGTCTTCACTCACACTGACCATCTCCCCTACTATGTGGTGTAAAAGTCCTTTCTCACATGGAGGTGCTCTTAGCTGCAACAACATAGGAACATAGAAAATAGGAGCAGGAGTAGGCCATTCAGCCCTTCGAGCCTGTTCCACCATCCAATATAATCATGGCTGATCATCCAAACCAGTACCCTGTTTCCACTTTCTCCCTTTACACTTTGATTCTTTTAGCCCTAACAATTATATCTAACTCTTCTTGAAAACATTCAATGATTGGCATCAACTGTTTTCTGTGGTAGAGAATTCCACAGCCTCACTACTCTATTTGTCTTGGAGCCTTTCACTAAGAAATGGGGCGAGGAGAGAAAATGTTTGAAACAACTGATCGATTTCTAGAGCATGAAAATCAACCTATTTTGAGGCCTATGTTTGATTTGTTACCAGGATCATCCAGAAGCTTCAATCTCAGGAGCATCTTAGCATAAGCCTGACTATGGCACCTGGTTCTAGACAGCTTGAACAATGGAAACATCCTTCCTGTGTTTAACCTGTCTACTCCTGTTGGGGTTTTATAGGTTTCTATGAGATCCCCCTCACTGTCCCCCTATTCTCCTAAACTTCAGTGAATATAGCCAAAACTGATCAAGTAACCAGCATCTCATTTTGGACTGGAGATAGTTACAAGGAGTTGTTCAAAATCATGAATGGTTTTGAAAATCAGGAGAAATAGTTTCCTGAGAAAGAAGGATTAGTAGCCAAAGGACAGAGGTGTGAGGTGATTGATAAAAGAGTCAGAGTTGACATGAGAGAACATTTTTAGGCAGCGAATGGCTGTGATCTGGAATGCACGTTTCTGAAAACATGGTAGAAGCAGATGCAAGACTAAATTTCAAAAGGGAATTTGAGAAATAGAGCTATAAGGAATATGAAAAGAGCATGATTTTATGAATACCAAGATGTATTGGAATCAACAACTTATGACATAGATAAATTATGGACTTTAACTTTAAATCTAGTTCTAGACGCTTAATAGCGCACACTTAAAAAAGATAAAGTCAACATAGTCCTACCAAACCATACAGCTGTTCTTACAGTACCCACGAAGACACAAATCTTGGATACTTAAGCCTCCAATGTTATCTTGCAGTTAAAGACTCACAACTAGAAAAATGTAATCTTTACCTGATTTAGAGAGCTGAAAGCTAGGTTAATATTGAAGGAGATGGCCTTAAATCTACAGATTCTACATTAATTTTCCAAATGTCATATTCCAAGAAAAACCTTCAGAAGTGGGTGATTGGATGCAGATATTCTTTGTAAAGAAATAAACCTGATAGGAAGTCAGACAGTGTTTCAATGATATAGATTGGTGTCTTCAAAGTGGATTATGTTGTATATAAATGCATAAATAAGTTTAAAAGCATGATTATATGAAATATAGCATGTTAAAATATATTGTTTACCATTACTTAAAACTGGAGTTGTTGGTGGATAGCTGGAGGGTCACCTAGGTTTGCTGATTTTCTCTGGTATTTCCTTGATATAGAAAGATTATCAAAAACTTCTGAACAGTTTAGTTGCAAGAATGGCACAGGAAAGCAATAGGCTGCATTAAAAAATCAAGAATTTTGTCATCCAATATTAAAGGTAGCTTGCTGAACCTTTTCATAAACAGTGTGTTGTTGGTTGAATGCTTGAGGATTTCTTCATACTTTCACTATAGCATCACTAAATGCATCATGAATCTAGAGTCTGGGCCAAATGTGAAACTGGCCAGATGTGGAGTGTAACTGGCTAGAAAAATATATCTAAATCATCTTTGCTTCAAATTCAGTTGGGTTTTCATACTGCACTCCTCAATTTTGGTTTGAAATAGAGACAGGTTTACATTAAAGCTAACTATATCAGGAGCAAATTTCCTGGACCCTATTTGCCTTGGAGCCTTTCACTAAGAAATGGGGATAGAAGAGAAAATGTTTGAAACTGCTGAATGGTGCCAGAGCATGAAAATCAACCTGTTTTGAGGCCTGTGTTTGATTTGTTACCAGGAACATCCAGAAGCTTCAATCTCAGTAACATCTTGGCACAAGCCTCATTGCTGGTTCCCTGAGCAGTGGCTGCCACTTGGACTTGATGCTGCTGATACCAGAGTACTTCTGGCCAATCAGATTGACTACCAGCTCACCAAGGCAGGTTTTCTTCCCAACACAGAAGCAGAAACCTCTAACTTAGGCAATGACCCTTCTTCCTGTGTAAAGTAGCTATAGGGCAGCCATTATTAGGGGAGACAGGTTCTGACCGTCCTTTCTGTGGATTAACGCGGGAATACAATTTCCTGTAAAATCCATTCTCTGGTGTCATTTCTATTTGGAATTCATTTTGACAAGATTATGACCATTGCAGTGATGCTGCCATTGATCTTTGTCACATATATTTTAGGTAATCGTTTTACTGTTGACCTGTACATTGTCCCTAACTTTTCCCAGCCACTGGAAGACAATGTAACTCGAACTTGATCAAGAGTCACATTTACCAGGTTGTCTAACTGGTCTGTGCACAAGTTCGTAATTTGTGTGCATGAATTATTTAATTGCAGAGTGTAATCTGAATTATCCCCTGAAGTATGTTTTGAACTACGTTTTATTTTGTGAGGCAGGCCAAGTACATGAATCTGGATAGTGAAGCTGAAATGATCTGTTTGGAAACTGGTTGGCCTAATAATACGTACCGGAAGGTCTACACACTCTTGCTGCTGCTTTTCACTTATATGCTGCCCTTACTTATTCTCACCATAACCTACTGGAATGTCGCTATGAGGCTGTGGGGTCGGAGACCACCTGGACACATGGACAAAAACAGAGAAGCTCAGCAAGATAAATCAAAACGGAAGGTAAAGACATAGGTGTAAAACCCAGAGAGGCTCATGTTGGAATTAACACTTTGGTATCGTAACCCAATAATACATCCCTGTACTGCACATGTAATTCGTTGCCCAGCAGCCGGTTTTATTCCCATGGAGGCTTTTTTACCTGGGTTGATAGTCCCATTGCTGAAATTCAGAAGGAAAACAGAAGGAAATCCAAGCTTGTTATGTTGGGTTACATAACCTCAGTAGCACTCTGCCATGATGGCGGAGTCAAAAATGGATGTTGCTCATTGCCCTATAGATAAACAACAAGGTATTGGATTTTCCAATGGCCTGATCATCATTGGAGCAGTGCAGACCTGAGTTGTGCATCGGGAGTCTATGGAATCCCAGACACAGCAGGAAATTGAAGATAGTAATGGGCAATTCCTCCACACCTAGAACTCCCTGAAAAAAATACCCCTTAAGGTTGCAAAATTCAGAGCTTTCTGCTTCCATTAAGCTAAGTTACCCATGCTATGACAGCTGTACAGCCCCACCCACTGGTCCTGCCATTCACTGCCCTTCCTGTCCCCACCCTGCTGATGGCCCTGAGATCATACCACCAGCCCTGACAACCCCCAAAGTATTCTAAGCACTTGATCACTTAACTGGCATGTTACACATTTGACACCAGGTACCCTACCTACCTGGTGCCCTATTCACCTGCCATTCCAGCTCCCTACCTATTTGTCACCCTAACCCATACTTACCTGACATATTCATGTTTCATAGCAACTGCCAAAATAAGCTGTGCTGCAAAAGTGGGCATGATTTGACTTCAAATCTGCCCTGCAGTACAGGATAATGGTGTTGATTTCAGCAATGCTCTGCATTTCTGAAGGAGCCAGGACTGGAATTCCCAATCAGAAATGCAGAGTTTAGAATACTATATAAAAATGAGCAGAGTGGCAATACACTTTGATTGCCATTTCTCGGAATATCAGGGTCAGTTTTGCCAGATATGTTTTAAATTATACAGACTAGTAAAGCCCAAATGATTGTGCTGATCTCAGCTGAAGCTACAGTGGATCTTATAATAGGACTGTGGCTAGGTGCTGGGTAGTGGGCAAGGGCCCCTTTTTGCACCAATTCTAGCTGATATTATTCAGTAAAGTTGAATGTAATAAATGGCCTTTCTCACCCTGGTCTGACTGTTAACTAAATCCTGTTGGTAACAGTGCAGTCCTTACCAAACCCTGAGTAAGTATTTCTATTGATGATACTTAGAGAAACTCGAAAACAGCACATCAGCTAAAAGAAAAATCAGCTGTGGTCCTGAACTATAAATGCAGCTGGGAGGTTAAGGTCATGAATTTTCTTGCAACTGCTCCCGATTCACCAACATAACTTTGATGGAGGTGCAGTAGAAGGTTTGCTCATATGTGCAAAGAGGTTGTCCACCACATTCTAACTGAAATCACATTGGCAAAGTGCAAGAAACTTAAATATTATGCTTAATTTTTTTGTTGACTTTGAGGGTTAGAATTAATGTGAAGAAGTTGTCCCGTTTGTTTTGCTATTGAAGATAAGCAAAATAGGTAAGAAATAACAATTTATTATAATCTACGTAATTTCCTACAGGTAATCAAGATGCTGTTTATCATCGTGGCTGTTTTCGCACTTTGCTGGCTGCCATTTCATATCTTCAGTGTTACATATGAGTTCAGTCCAGCTGTACTACCAAATGATCCTATGGATATCACTGCCCTTTACTTCTTCTCCCACTACCTGGCCATGTCACATAGCTTTTGGAACCCGCTGATTTACGGATTCTATAATGACAATTTCAGGGTATGTAGACATTTGAGGTAAGAAGCATGTGCATATACATAAGACATGCATATATACATACAAGAAAACTGAGTGTTATACATAGTTATGCTCACAGATTTAGATGACGAAAGGCAAAGGAAGCACAAATGCATCATTTACCGCATGTGCACTAGTAAAATCAAATGGCCTAGTTCTGTGGCTTATACTCTATGTAATTTTGTTATTTGCCTAGGTTTAGCACCAAATTGTACGCGAGAAACAAACAGTGCACAGGAAAAGTAGCCACTAGTCCTTTAGAAATCTGCCAAAGTATTGTTTCACTGAGCAATTTTACAAGCTCACTCTAGATAACAAGTTCATTCAAGAAATGATGAAAACAGAAAATATTGGAATGCAAATACGATATACTTATCTCAGAAAATATTGTTTTGGGATGCAAAACATTGGTAATTTGAGGCCTGAGAAAAGCTAAATTTAGCTTACTTGGAAAAAAATGAGGGAACCAGAAGAATGAGGGCCAATAATGCCTGATGTGTCCAACCAGGTCTAGTAATAGATAGTTAAATTATTTGTGAAAAATATGCTGAAGTCTTCACCTTGTGGAATGGAGTGAAAACAGGAGACTGTTTCCAGGGTACAGCTAGGCTAAAAGAGAATTAAAGTTTAATTGGAATAAGGCAATTATTGGAATGCTGAAATTGTAGTAAATATGCACAAATTAAACTGAGTTAGACACTGGAGTGGGAGAATAAGTCTGTCCGACATAGAAAAATGGCTAAAATAAGATTTCTTCCAGGTGGCTACCATTTGACTTCATGGATTAGGAAGCATGCAACTATAAACTTAAGGGGCAACATTTCAATACAAAGGAAGACTGTGTCATAACTGTCTCTTTTGTCAATTATGTTACATTACAGATACATTAAAAATGTTTTAGCTTACATTAAAGGTAAATTAGACGTTATTTATTTTCAGTTTGTTTTATTATACCAGTGTGTGTTACAAATAAAATTTGGATATTTGATCCAACGAGACTTATGTATGCATGCAAACAATACTTGAATCCAGTCAAAAGGCTTCTCAAAACAAGAAAGGCCCAAGGTTGCTATAGTGATAATTGCTGAGGATAAGAATATGCTATAAATTAAATTCTTTTTTGGTTTTCAAAACATAACACGTGAGGAAAAAGCTGTAGATAACCATTCTGTTGCATGTAGCCAAATAATTCAGTTTTGTCTGTTATTAGAAAGCAAAATTTCTAAAGAATTGAGTAGGGTCAAATAGCCCTGAAGACAGAGGAATCAAGCTATAGAACAAATGACAAGGGAGTATCTAAGTGCATCTGGTGGGTCATAGTTTGTGACTGCCATTGATATCTTTACATGGGTCAGCAGACACCGTAGACCTGATTTGAGACCTTGGTACCCAGATGCAGAATAAAAAAGGAATGGTCTTTCAGTATACCATATGGTTAAAAGCATGTAAAAATAAAAGCTAAAATAAAAAGTTTAAGCTGGGTTAGTTTTGCTTGGTTGAGTTTAAGGGTGAAGCTTATGTTGTTTAGAATAATTATTTTACTTGGTTAGGGTACCTGTTTAGGCATTGTTGCTTGTGTTTGTTTTGTTCAAGTTTATATAGAAAACATTCTTCTAGTGTTTCAGTTTAATCTTGGAGTCCTGTTGCTTACTTCTTTACCCTAGGTTTTTCCACACATTACGTGCTTTAAATGATTATGGCCAATTAAGTTAGATTCTAACATATATCCGACTTGACAAGCATTCTCATAGCTGGGATCATAATAACAGAAATCCATGTGATTCAATACTGAGTATTTGCTTCTAAACCAACATAGATCTAAGACTCATTTATGAAATAGGTGATTTGGAAAGCCAAAACAAATCATAAGGAATCACAATCAGAATTCCCAAAATTACTCAGAGGCATTAGAAAGATAAAAGCAGCTTCATCATATCACATTGAAACCAGGTGCCAAACCAGTGCTCTTATTCACACAAAGGAAAGTAACTTTTCGAGAAGGTGAGAGGAGAAACTGGGTCAATGTTACATCGGTCTGCTCTCTCACCAGTGCCAAACCAAGAAGTGGCTGTTTGACTACAGGACCAGTACCAGCACCAAACAGGTCATTGAGTTTCTGTATTGCGTTCCCACAATTAAACAAAGTAGTGGAAAGGGATATATACCCAATGGGAGCTGTGGATGAGATTCTGGCAAAGTTAGCAAATAAAAGCACCATATTCATAAAATTGGGTGCCTTTTAGCAACCAGCTCTAGACAAAGAATCTAAACTACTCACAAAATTCATCACACTGGTTATAAGATATGGCTTCAATTAACTACCTGGTGATATTGCAAGAGCAGTAGACATTTTTCAAAGAATGATAACAAGCATCTCAGAAAGATTAGATGGTGTTGCCTGCCATATGTATGTCATCCTAATTCATGGTTCAACCAGATCAGAACATAATGAAAAAGTGCTTGCAAGGAGAAAGACTACGAATATGATAAATTTGAATTCTCACAGCCACACATTCAATTTCTGAGACACATTTCTCATGCAGCAAATACCAAGGTGGATCCTCAAAAAAAAAGCAATGAAAGATTTCCCTTGTAATCACTGAATTTCAAAAAATGAATAGGAAACGGTGAATGAAATGGATATTTTCTTACTTAATTTGGTCCAGGTAAATTAACCAACAAAACACTTCTTAAACAAGGCAAGGCGTGGTGCTGGCAAGGGAATCCACAAATTTCCCTTGAAAGGATAAAATAAATGTTCATTTCACCTAGTATACTACCTCACTATGACACAGAACTATCCACAATGGTATCAACAGCTACATCACCAACTGAACTAAAAGCTGCACTTTTCCAAGTCTAGAAAAATGGAAAAAGTAGAACACTCTACTTCATGATCAGCCCTTTAACCAAACTGGAAGGAAGATGTGCTTTAATTGAAAAAGTATTAGGAGCCAGAGAAGTTTTCAGACCATGTCTTAGGTCCAAAGTTTACCATTGAAACAGACCACAAAGCCATTAGCTACATTTTTAATTACTGAAGAACTAGTGAAGATGCTACTGAGGGTTTGGAGATTTTGTTTACGATGAATGAATTCAAATCCACAAAAAATATGTTCAAAAGAAACATCGAACTACTGCATTCACATTGTCACATACTCCTGTCAGAAAGCCTTTGCAAGAATTGAAACACTTTGTCGAGGAATTCTAGTCATATACTACAATGATTGCAAAATATTTACCCACAATAACAACAAAATTGGAAAGCTCAGAAAGCAGCTGCAGAACGTGTTCAAATTTGGAGTTCAGATTTGGTGCCTACTCCAGTGAGCATTCAACGACACTTCTACCCTTCCTTCCTACTAAAATTTCAGTGCTCATTTTCTGTAAAGAGAAATTATTGATCCATAGAGCATTACCAGGTCTGTTATTTCTCTATCCTATATACAAAGTCTATTATAACTGTGGATTTCTATTGGCTTACAGGCTGACCTGCAACGATTGTGCATTCGTTTCAATCCATCCCGGTGCTGCCTTCACATCTATGGAGATAATCTCTCAACCTACAGTGATTCTGATATCTTTAGAAGAGAGAACACTGTCAGTCTGCGCTTGAGTTCAATGGAAAGTTGTAGATCCCTTGTCTCCAGGAAACAATCTGTTGGTGCCAATCCCCAAACAGGCCAAATCCATAGCACGTAATACAAAAGGATCCTTATGCATTGTAATAAATTTGAAGTTTGGTTTGCATGTAGTCAAAGGAAATACATCTTGTCAAATAGGATGGGAGAAACGCAATTTAGAATGTATCAAAGGCTAACTTCTAGGTATTAATGGTTACTAGTATACCAGAAAATGGACTGTATGTTGTAGAGCCTCTTTCATTTGTTAACCAATCCTCTCATACAGTACAAATGTTGTTTCCCTTTGCTTTCATACTCTTGGAAATTGTCCTGATGAGTGTAAGCCTAAAAGCTTTGAAAAAATGTACCCTTTTGTTTTCAACAATACTCAAAACACTGCACTGCTTAATGACTATTTTCAACATACCTTGACAGAAGTGTTAAAAAAAATTGATTATTAAAAATTCAGTTTGTTAATGATGTGATAGAAAGAGCCATCAACAAAATTGTATGGGATTAAAGAGGGAGTGACAGTGTGGATGTAACAGTAGCTAAGTAAAAAAAGGCAGAGAGCTGTGCTAAGTCATTGTTCTTCAGTCAGGAGGCATTCCTACCTTTCTTTATCATTGTCCATCCAACCAGTGATACTTGTTGGGTTCCACACAGTCTGGTGCAGTGAATCAGGATATGCTGCTCTCAGTCTGGGGTGTGCTGCTCTCAGTCTGGGGTGTGGTGCTGTTTGTCTGGGGTGCAGAGCTCTCAGTTTGGGGTGTGGTGCTGTCTGGGGTGTGCTGCTCTCAGTCTGGAGTGTGGTGCTGTCTGTCTGGGGTGTGCTGCTCTCAGTCTGGGGTGTGCTGCTCTCAGTCTGGAGTGTGGTGCTGTCTGTCTGGGGTGTGGTGCTGTTTGTCTGGGGTATGCTGATGTCAGCCTGGGGTGTCGTGCTCTCAGTCTGGGGTGTGCTGCTCTCAGTCTGGGGTGTGCTGCTCTCAGTCTGGGGTGTGGTGCTCTCAGTCTGCAATGTGGTGCTGTCAGTCTGGGGTGTGGTGCTCTCAGTCTGGGGTATGCTGATGTCAGTCTGGGGTGTGGTGGTCTCAGCCTGGGGTGTGGTGCTGTCAGTCCAAGACGTGCTGTGGTCAATCCACTTGATGCATCTTCAACTAAGATAATTCAGAGTGCAACACTGCTTGGTAAACAAATAATTATCACAGATTTATGTCTGATATCAGATGCAGAAGTGATTCAGAAGACACAGGTTCAAACAGACAGTTTAATTTCCTTATCTTCTCAGGAAGAATCCTTAGTAACATTGACACAGATCATTCCAAACAAGAAACAATCCTCAAATAATAGAGCTGAGGCAATGAATATGGTGGTTTTATCAATATTGCAATCACTGAGGCCAAATTAAAGTGTACAAGCTAATTAACAAGTTAAAATAGATTCTTTACCCTTCAATGAAGATTTACTGGCTGATTGAGAATTACGTCTAATGTCCAGAGATTCAAGACATGGTCAAAATTAAATTGCCTGGTTTGGAGATTCAACATATTACAAAGAGAGAAAAGCCTAGTTCAGTGATGCATGATACTAACTAAAGTAATTGCTTGTTTCAATAGAATAGCTTTCCTCTGTAAGGGAAAAATATGAGATTAAAGGCCCCCAGATGTTGCAATAGAGTAACTGCCTGTTTCATCAGGAAATACACCTTCCACAAAACACCAGAGTTCTCTGGTCTAAGCAGACGTTCAGTACTTGCCTTGTCAGAAACAGAATCAAAGTCAACATTCTTCAACCCAAAGGTCTACCAACCCTCAAAATCCAAAGAGAACGCATTCTCAGAGAAAAGTGAAACCTCCAGAATGCCTGAATTTGTGAACTCAGAGATGTAACAGGACATGGTGAGTAGGAAATGTAATGATATGTATTAATGTATAGTATTATTAAAAAGATGTAAAGCTTAGAGGGAGGATTTTGTATAAGAATGTAAGGGTTTGAAAGTAAAATACCATTCAGTGCCTTAAGCACTGCCCAGTATGATAGATGTCACAAAAACTTGATGTAAGAATAGCTTAGGATCTCAAAGGAGAACTATCCACCATCCAGACCCTTCTCATTGCCTCCATAACAAAGATATATCAGTGTCATCTGTACTTAGTTATAAACTTGTCTTGAAACTCTATTAAGAGTAGCTGTCTCTCCACAGATGCTGCCAAAACCGCCGTGTATTTCCACTGCTTTCTGTTTTGATCCCAGTTTCTCCAGTTGCTTCACATAAATGAAGTTGTCATCACTGCTACCATTCTAATAAACTTTCCCTACCCACTCCTCAAGTCCTTTTCATCCATTCTAAATTGTGGCAGCCAGAATTAGTCAGAATTCTAAGGGCCACCCATTGTTTATAATGGTCAAGCATAATTTCTGTACTACTTTATTCAATGGCTTGTGCTTTAACCTGGAAGTGAGATATATGAAGACTGAGGATAATCTTTGTTGTTGTGAAGAACAAAATGACATGTTTCTTAAATGTTCTGCAGAACTTTACAGCAGAGCTCTTTTAAGTGAGGTTCCCGTTAAGAGGCAGCGTGATTAATTGGTTGGAGGCCTTGCAGGTTGGAAGTCAGCTTGACAAGAGGAGTGAAAAAGAAATTGTGAGTGATATATGGCAGGGGTCTCCTGATGTCAGGGACAAGGTTGAGGGATCTATCTGGATTATAGGTGCAGGTAGTGGGTTCAATGTTTGTCCATAGGATTCTCACTAGGATGACTGATGGAATAGTTATGGTTATGGGGAGCAGTTAGGTCATCATGTGGGTCAGGAGGGCAACTGGTGATGGTCGGTGTTCTATACTGGGCAGGGGGAGAAGCTATTGATTGAAATGGGTTTCAATTGTGGAGCTTAGCAGTTGGCGATCCTTTATAGTTTGGGCAAAAGAATGTATCAAGCTATTGTGGGGTGGCATAAGGGATATTCTATTGAATAGCATTTTGATTCTGGCAATAGCACTGCTTTTTCTCCTTTCCAACAAGTGCTATAAAAGCAGATAAAGGATAAAATGTAAGAGATTTAGAACAGTTAGCAGAAAGATGTGATGCTGAGTAATTAGTGAGTAAAGCCAACACTGTATCTACAATGTAGTTTAGTGAGATGGGTAATAAGAAGGTATAAATTACAAAAAGGGCACACAAAATTAAGACTACTGCTGTTTTGGAGAATGAGCACCAATTCAAACTGATGGGGCCAGTGGCCTGTATCTGTGTTGTAATTTCTTTGTTGTAATTTCATTGTAATTTTGTGTATGTCAACTTCCTTGTACTGTTTAGCTTAGATTCACCTTCAAATCCAGTTCGGCTCACTGTTAAATTGTTATATATCAGTAATACCATTGAATTAAAAAAAATGGCTAGCCCAATCTATTTCAATGATATTCTGTGCAACTTTAAATCTTGCATTTGTATTATGTTTAATATAGTAAATAACATCAGTTATAAGTAACTAATTGAAATTCCCTACAGAACAAATTTGAGATTAATAAACTGGAGATAGATCATTGTCATCCACATTGTTTTCTGTTCAACCTGTTACGATCTCACGAAAAAAAAATCAGTATTCAACAGAGAAATCAATGTATAATGATAGAAATCCTGTGAAATTTTCAACATAACTGCAGTGTTCGTTGTTTTCTTCACTTATCTTAGCTCTCAGTGTAAAGCATCTTTCCGTTTAGGATTTGTACTCTTAAGGTCTAAATGCACTTGAGTACAAGATAATTTCAAACTCAGAATGATGATATGGCAGATGAAGCACAGTATGAAATAGCAAAAATTTCCCATTTTGAAAAATGAATACACTCCACTATGATTCAAGTGCAGCAATCTGTGTCCCTTCTACACTTAAAAAAAATCTTATTTTTGTGATTCATGTCAAATCTGCTATTATTTTAACATTTAAGGCTCTGTTTTTTGTAGAAAGTGAAACATTTGCTTTCTATTACCCTTTACTTTGGGTAGATGCAGTCATTTAGAACACTATCATTTCAAGTCTTGAACTGCTTTCAGGTAAATGGTTTGAAAGTCCATTCATTCAGTCTGTTGCAGATTCCAGCCTTAAGCTCCTTAGATACAGAACTTTGTGGCGACTAACTTGCTTTTGTATTATAACTCTTTAAGCACAGGGCAGATTAAATCATTATCAAAAGTATTAGATCAGGAAGTAATAATCTATAACTAATTTAGTCAGCTGTATTCAAAACATATTGGCTTTGACATGTTCAAGAAGTTATAATCATAATTTGAATATTTGTCAGTATAATTAGTCAAGAGAAATATCATTAAGAGCCAAACAATGCCTCTTAGAAGCAAAGGCATCCTGTTGAATAGAAATTAGATGTTTTAGAATAAGATAATATTTGGGACGCCGAGATAACTCATTGCAGCTGCAAATAGGTTGTGTTATTCATAGCGTCATTTAATTGATGGTGTTCTTTACATGACAGCTGGCCCATGTTTGTAGAAATTGTACTAATTAACCAAGCAATATTTGCCACATTAAAGTAAATTAATTGTTCTAGGAAGTAAACTCATGCCTGTTTGTTCCTCTCTATCCTTCCCTTTCCTTTCTCAGTTTTAACAGAGGAACTATGGTTCTATCAGTTGTATTATTGCAGGATCTGTGGTAAAGCTAAAGTTGCTTACTGGGCCATAGGGCTGCTGTCTCACTTGAGAGAGACACCTGGGTGGGTGGTGGTTTAAACTGAGGGTCCCCACGCCTCAGGCAAAGGGAGAGGTTGAAAAGGAGAGTTCTTCAATGGTAACCTCAGTTGCTGTGGCAATGGAAGCCACACTGTTGGCATCTGTAGTGAGGAGGCGATGGCCTACTGGTATTATCACTGGACTGTTAATCCAGAGACCCAGGTAATGTTCTGGGGACCCGGATTCAAATCCCACCATGGCAGATGGTGGAATTTGAATTCAATAAAATATCTGGAATTAAGAATGTAATGATGACCGTGAATCCATTGTTGATTGGTGGAAAAACCTGTCTGGTTCACTAATGTCCTTTAGGGAAGGAAACTGCCATCCTTACCTGGTCTGGCCTACATATGACTCCAGACCCACAGCAATGTGGTTGACTCTTAATTGCTCTCTGGGCAATTATGAACAGGCAATAAATGCTGCCTGGCCAGAAA